TAGTGCTATGTCTCGCGTTGACTAGCCAATTGTAAACGATTGTTTTATAAATTATATTTAATTTATAGTGTATTATGTATCAAGTTTGATAAACGCCATTTTAGACATGAGTTTAATTAAATGGGTGTCTAGAAAAGTTTATAAACAAGTTGCATACCATACTTTTTTAGAACAAATACTTATTATTAAATCATTGTATCTAAAAATGATTTAAATTAAATATTTGTATAGAGCGACATCTATAAAACAATAGAGAACCCAACTTGTAAATCTGTATTACCGGCGCGCCGGTGAAAATATCAAATTTTTATGTGTAAATCGAAATGTGTTCCTTGAAAATGGACGGTTTATAGTTTTTCACAGTGAAAGTAAAGAAAATGTTTTATCGAATTACTATGGGCGTCTAACTAATCTAGCAATATTATTGCTAAAATTATTAATTTGATCGAATTTTGATTTGATAAAATGGCAACCAAAAATTCTAAAAAAAAGTACCTAATGTTAACATTGCTCAAGTCAGATACTCCTGTCTAATATAATTATAAATTACATTAATTAAAAAATATTGGACTGAACAGTGTTTACATACCCTATTTGATAGTAAAAACATAATATGTAATAAAGGGTACAATATCGAAATTTAACCCTGGACAACAATCACTCTAGCTACGCGTAGCTATAGCCTATAGCTATAGCGTCATGGGCGGATTTAGGCCCCGCTCAATCCAGGGCCCCCTCGTGGTGAAAATTTTACTAAATTAATTTTGTTAAAATTTCAGCTCTTAGTAAAGGTATTATTAAAAGTCCCTCATCGCGATTTTCTATTTTCCTGTTTAAAATTTAATTTAATAATATGGAAAAAAATTTAACTTTAAAATTATTATAACTCTATAGGTAGCGAATTAATGGACTAAAATGATCAGAATAGATATGTTATGGTCACTTATAAACGCTCTACAAAAATGGTATATTATAATTTTATGGTAAATCTAACGAGTATACTCGTTCAAACGTTATTCAAGCTTAAATATAATTTATAGTAAATTTCATGTTTTTCTTACTTTTAATGTAAAACTACTATTGGATTTATTATAAAATTTTATAGACTTTTTTTATTTTCATTAAAAATATTACATTTTATAATTTTTAAATCCTAAATCCAACAGTTACTGGTTTTACAAATAGCAATTTTATTGAAAAAAAATAATTTGAATAACCAGTAATTTCAAAATACATTGAATTACATGTTTTTGTATAAAATAAAATAAGAATAAAATGAAATTTATCAGTATAGGTTTAAGGTTAAATAACTTTTGAAAAAGTATATTTATAAGACACCTTAATCGTAGAGCGTTTGATTTTCTTTAAAGATATTTTTTGTTCATTCCAGTTTTAGAATTATTAAGTATTTAAATGGAAAATGAAACATCGCGATAATACTAATAATAATAATAACAGGCTCTTGAGATTGGATTGGATTAAAAAAAATAGTATTACCTGAGAATTTGGTTTTGTTTTTATTTGTATTTTTGGTTGTTATGTAGGTAATTTTCATGAATTTTTTTAAGAATTTAAGAAGTTGTTTAATATCTATAAATATAAAAAATCTTTATGACCCAAACTTGTACAGGTCCCCAAACAGATTTAGTCCAAGGCCCTCATTGGTAGAGGTCCGCCCCTGTATAGCGTATACGCCGCGGCGCTGCCTACAAGTATTGTTAGAAGGTAAACTTATGTTACCTTGCGGTAGCACTCTTTCTTTTCTAGGTAATTCATATAATATATATGAAAGTTGTTACATTTAAAATAATTTGATAAATGTAAAAAAGTAGACATTAGGATTTAATATTCATTTATTTTTTATCATTGGGATTTAGTTGACTTTAAAAATAAAATTGTATCTAAAATTAATTTTCAATTAACTTTTTTATTCTTTAAATTCACACTAAGTAATAGTTAGGTTTAACACTTGGGCTGAGTTGTTTTTCCTTTTGTTATATTATTATTTTTATTTTATAATTTAGTATAAATAATAAATACATTATTATGGATATATTATTAATTTTCTTTTTAAATGTGACTTATTTATATTTTTACTGTAAATATTTCAACATAATTATGTGATTACTCATAGAAGCGTGACAAAATATTCCGTTACAATTTTATACTTTTTTATTGTGACAGTGGGTCAGTAACCCCTAGCAAGTTTAAATTGCAATACTAGATTTATGTAATTGCAAAAAATTGTCACTCTATTTAGTTTTAGATTTTATTCTGGTAAACAAGTTTGTTTAGATATCCAAATTACAACATTGGTATTTATTTTAATTAGAGGATGTTTCTTATATTTCAACAGTATTAGAAGGTCTAATAATTATTGTTCTAATTTTAAAATAAACATTAAAAAAAGACACTTTTGGTAAAATTCAAAAACATTCAAGGCAATGTTTCAATTAGTGGCGGATTAGAGGTGAGACAAGAAAGGCGACGCGTTTTGTGCCGTCAAAGGCAATGCATCGCGAGAAAAGCTGCCTTTTAATTGGTGAATTAGTTAATAGACGAAAGTCGATTCGGCATTATTTTTTGTTTGTTTTAATTAAACGACACGTGAAATAGAATATTTATCTGGTTTTGTATTTAATATTTTAGTACATTTTACATTTTATCGTTAAAAGCATATTAGATCCGCTATTGTGGTAATATTTAGGAGGTCCATTCCAGAACTCGGTTTATCCACTTTTTAATAATTTTGCCTCTACATTTAACATGTAGCCCCCTATACCCTGAAAAGGTCATAATATTCTAAAACTCACCTTATTCCATTTAAAATTTATTTACAAATTGACTATCGTTCCAAAACTTATTTATAGGTTATATTATGTCAGGACTGGCTTATACGTATGTAATTTTAAATTATTTTATTATTTAATTGGAACTATACCTTCTTAATCAAGGTATATAAATGTTATACTTATGCCTATATATTTCGTTTAAAGGTTTCTGTTAGCCTGATATTCGTTAGTACTTACGTGTAAGGTTTTTTACATTTTGCTCAAAATCGCCTAAAATGGATAAGCAGAGTTTTGGAATGCATCTTCTCAAATAGCACAGGTTGAAGCAGTTTTGGACCATAGTACAAAAATGATGCTTTTTAGCTAATTTTTGGCAATGACTTAAAGTTAAAAAGAAATTTTGTTAAGATTTACAATATTTCTATAAAATAAAAATAAACAAATTAAAATATATGTTAACATCTAACATGTTTTGATTTGATAAATTTAAATTATAAATAAACAAAACAATAAATTTTCAAGGTTTAATTTTTGCCATCTCACGTCAATAACGTTAATTTTGAAATGTTAGCAATATTCAAATAGTTAGAAGTTCCCATAATCCACACAACAAGGTCTGTTCTATCTCATGCTAAAAATACTAAAAATCACTGCAACACTGCACAGAGTTTAACGGCGGCCATTTTTGTTGTTTACAATTCTTGTGCTTTGGGTTTGTGCTGTTTAATAATTGTTTTAAACGTTGGGTTTCTTACAGATGCGCTTGTAAGCCTCAAATAAGCTAAGGACAACCATTTTACTCCTCTTTTATAATAAATATACCTTATTCTATCAGGGCTGTCAAATAACAATTTGAAGGTTAATTTGTGGGTTATAATTTAACCTTAAAATTGACATTTGACAGTTTTATGACAGCCCTGATAGAATAAAGTTTATTTTTTACAATAGAGGAGTAAAATGGTTAGCACTTTAAGGCCTCTTTTAAGGCTTACTATAAGAAACACAACGTTTAAAACGATTATTAATCTGTATAAACAGAGCACAAACCCAAAGCACAAAACTTGTAAACAACAAAAATGGCCGCCGTTAAACTGGGCAGTGTTGCAGTGATTTTTTGTATTTTTAGTACGAGATAGAACAGACCTTTTTGTGTGGATTGTGGATGTTCCAAGTACTTTTATTTTGATTTTAAAGTTTCCCCATTGATATAACAGGAAATTAAGGATATTTTTTTCAATTTCCTATAGCTTGGCGTTATTTTAGGATACTACAATTTCGATAGGTACGATTTTTACATAATTAGATGCTGTTTAGTAAATACTTGCAACAAGTTTTATACAACCTATATGTTTTACCTGTATACGTCACCAAAGTCATAATTTAATAAAAAACAGTATTTTTTTCTTTTTACGGCAAAACGGTTAAAGTTTTGTCAGCACCTGCAGGTGCATGCACAAAACATCCCAATGGTGACCGGTTGCAAACCTGTTTGATTTTTTGAGCTTTTTATAATAATGTAATTTAAACTAACTTTTAACCCATACAAAAAATGGCGAATGCGCCGGGATTAATTAATTAATATGCAATTTGTTAAAAACTTGACTACCTATCGGATCCTAGTATGGCTGTGAATCATCACCTTTACAAAAGAAATATATATATCACTATCACACAATATATTGAAGTGACACAGTTACATGATCACTAACAGATCATTCTATATGTACATTTCTTTTAAAGAATTAACTTTTTGGTTTCATGATTTAAAAAAAAATTACTTTAAAAACTTAATTCTACGCAATTTATGACATTGTTTTTAATAATATCAGCTTTTTTTACTTGCACTTTCGAATCCTACGTCTATCAGAATTGCTTTTTCACAGAAAATCCCGGTAGGTTATTTCAATTTTTAGATTAATTAGGCAATAGTTTTTTTAGCTTTTTTACCCTGCGCCGATTGTTTATGAACTTTTACACCCCCACACCTATGTTTCGCATTTTGACAACCCTCCCATCGTTTTTCGGAAAAGTCGCTAAAGTGTAAATTTAATTTATATTCGCACATTATATTACATGTTTTGGTAAAGAACATGGATAAAATTCTACAAAACAGTATAATACAGTAAAATTACTATGATTATTCATAATGGCGTTTGAACAAAGTGTCTAAATTTCATAAATTTAATATATTATTAAAAATTAACTTACAGCTATAAGGGCCTCAGGCTGTAGAGGCTGTGATGATTGGTATCTGTCACTAACTTCCCTAAGAAGTTCAAGTTCCTGCTCCAGCTGCCTACAGGAAGCGTTAGCTGTTACGTAAGCAGAAGCTAGCAGGAAGCTGCCAAGAACTACTGAACAAAGGACTACGGTAACTGCGACAATTTTAGCAACTTGCACAGATACACTTTTGGGTTTCATGTATGCCTGAAAAAAACAGTTTCATTTTTATTTGATATTTAAACTATTTAAACTATTTTCTTAATTATAAATGTAAAACAAACTATGGGGTGGCTATTAACTATAAAAAAATCGATACCAATTTATTTAGGGATTTAAATATTTTATCGTAGCCAGTTTAGTTATACATTATTACAGACTTTTCTAAAATATGTTAGGTGGGTATTTAAAATAAAGAGCTAATGTTTTTAAGATTAATTTTGTCATTTGTTTTTTTTAATTAATTTTTATTTAATAAACATTAATTTTGTCATTTGTATGCAGAATTTATTAGGCAAATAGCTGTCGCATGGATCTAAAATAAAATATTTTTAGATTTAATATTTAAACTATAATAAGATACCAATCTTACTATAGTCTAAATATTGTATCAATAGTAACTAAATAGCCTGTAAGAAAATTTGTATATTTAAAATGATTTCTTATAATAAATAAAAAACAGTTACGAATATTTTTATTTTTGTAATTTTAAAAATTGACTTTAACTATAGTTAAAGTCAATTTTTAAAATTACAAAAATAAAAATATTCGTAACATATACATTGTAGTTAATAATCAATAATTATTATCAATCTAGTTATACTTATTTTAAGAACTAAATTATTAAAACAACCTGATAGTCTATGGCAAGCCAATTGTGTTGTTAAATGGTGTTTTACCATTTAGGAACTAAATTTTTATTTAACATCATGGAGAATAATATAATAAAAACTGTTACAAAAAATAACTATATGTTGGGTGTTGATGTTGAATTTTAATTCAATTAATTATTTTTAATAGGAGTACATTTAATTTAATTTTAATTTAATTTAATAGATGTATAGTATGATTTTAATTTGGAGAATTAAAATTATACTATAGATAATTTTAATTGAAATAAAATTATATTACGACATAATTTTAATTCTGGAAATTAAAATGATGTTATAAACCATTTTATTTTAATCAATTCTACATCGGTTAAATAGTTGAATTAACATTACTATATAAAAAACATTGCAACCTAAAATAGGATTCAAATAAAAATTAAAATATTCAACATATAATTCAACATCAACACCTTTACAATATGTTGTTATTTCTTGTAACATTTTATTTTATATAGTTCTAATAATTTTTGATTGTGAATTTAACATGTGCAAGACAGGTTTTTTTAGAAAAATTTATGTAATAATAATAAGCAAGGACCGGATTTTATGCAAAATGCCTTTTTGTTTCTATTTTAGGCATTTATTTGGGACCTTAAAATTAATCCTAAACTTAAAAAATAAAGCGTTTGACATCCATTTGTTTTTTCCAAAAAGCCTAAAATGGCGAAATTTTGATTTATTGTCCTAAAAGGACATTTTTATGAACCTAAAATAGTCTCTTTTCAATTTTCAGAAAAAAATATAATTTTCATTGCAATAGATCGATACAACAACCGTTGGAATCAACGTATCGTGCTTTTGTTTGTATTTCTCAGAGGCAATTTTGTTTGTTTGTTTGTCTTTGGTATTTGTTTATATTATTTGTTCAGCGTCGGCCTGCTTGTTTTTGGTAAGTTTATAGAGATTTTATTAAATAATAGGTATTTTATTTACAAAAACTTTTAATATTGCTAACAATTTATTTTAGTAATCCTAGAAATGCTCAAGGCCAAAGCAGGGATTAAGGTTTCAGGGTGGTTGCAGGAGCTGGACAAAAATAAAATGTTTCAGCCAAATCAGTGCGATGACACCCAAATATTTTGCAAAAGCTATGCCAAGATGGTAAGGTTTTAACATACCTACACAGTAAAAAAAGTTTATTCCAAGAGGTCCACTTTTTTTTATTGTATTAACAAATATAATATAGCAACCTGTACTACAGTACATATGGTGTACACAGGGGTTTTCATTATTCTATTTTAGGCACTTTCGGCCTAAATCGGCCTAAAATGTAGGTTTTTGTTGCCTATTTATGGGTTCTAATTTCCAACTTTTAACGGCCTAAAATCTGGTCTTTGATAATAAGGTATTAAAAAAATTAAAATTAATTTTAAAAAATTGGAAACCCCTTTTACTATTTAATTTATTTTAAATTAAATTTGTATACAACTGAATTTTAAAATCCGGTCTTTGATACAAAGGTATTAAAAAAATTAAAATTAATTTTAAAAAATTGGAAACCCCTTTTACTATTTAATTTATTTTAAATTAAATTTGTATACAACTGAATTTTAAATGATTCATTACTTATCAAACATACGGTAAATTTTATATCCCTAGCTCAATTATTTTTTAATTGTACATTAAATAGTAAAACTGCTTGCCATATGTAGTACCTACTAATGAGCCAAAACTTAAAATAAAAAACCTTATAAATAAATTATAAATCATTTAAAATTTATTCATATATTATATCACGAGAACTATGAATTTAATCGGTTAAACTAGGCTAAGTAGTTTTTTGTTTGGTTTTTCTTGGAAAATGTTGAATGCAAAATAATTTAATAAAATCACGAGACCGCGTAGCGGTCGAGGGGTTTTATTTTTAATTATTTTGCATGAAACTATTTTACAAAAAGAAAAATCAAATAAAAAACTTACTGAGCATAGTTTGACAGATTAAATTTATAGGTTAAGTGATATACGTCTAGATTATTTCTCGAATTAAAGGAAACTATTTGACAATTCATAAAATCTGACGTATGTGTCAAAATTTATAAATATTTTTTTAAAGAAAATTACATTAATTTAAGGTATGTAATAAGTAATAATTGATATTTCGTAAACTAGATAACTTATTTTTTATTGTTTTTTAAAAAATGTTTGTTAAAACTTGTAAATAACACCATAAAATCGTAAACAAAAATCCAATATGGAGGCTAAAATTTAATCGCTGTTAAATAGTTCTAGTGATTTAATCGCTTATTTAAACGAAATTTATTCGAAAATGCAAGGCTTTTGATTGGTTCATATTATAATGAGGGAAATAATCACTGTAAAAAATACTTCTTTTACTAGGCTAATCCATCAATAAAACAAATTGTTTTAAACAATGATACCTTATTTGGACACTGAAAGAAATATATACTAAAGTTAAATAAAAAAATAATTAGGGCAAATATATTTTATGTTTCATATATGGACTACCACATACATTGCTAAAACAAATATATTCGTTTGGTTAGCAGCCTATTGCTGCCCTAGCAATATAAATGGTGTTTCTAGCAATATTTTTTTGCTGTAATTCACTTATAGTTTACATTTTATAGTAAGGGTAAGTTTATTTTTATTTAGATCTAACATATCTTCTTTACAATAAATGTATTACAAAATTTAACATACATTCATAATAAACAGTAGTATAAATGTGTAAAGCACTAGTATAAAATTTTTAGTATAAATTTGTATTTACTTTTAGCAACAAATTTCTTTCAGTGGAGATAAATGTTTTATGAACTCTGAATCGACTTTAGAAAGCTCACATTAAAAGGTGAAACAATAGGTTTGGATAGTCTTCTTGTAATTGGATGAATTTAAATGAAACAAATGTATTTATAATGAATGATGCACCTTGGCAATTGTTTGCGATGGAAGAAAGACTTGAATAATTATTTGTGGGAATCTCTAGATTTACAAGACACATAAAACAGGACCGTTGGAGTTTTAATTAGCTTAAACACCACTTATATCTTTTATTTGGAGTTTATAAAGTTTTAAAACTTAAAATTTAATTAATTATATACAAATCATAATTTTGTAAAAATCATAAAAAATTATTAGTAAACGAGTATTTAAAACAATCCCGCACAATTGTGAAAACTAGACAAGATGGTTTATTTAAATTTGTAATCAAATAGACTTGTTTTAAAATTGGTAATAATAATTTAGGACTAATATCTTATGTATTATTTTTTTTGTGAAAAAAACTAAAATGTTCCATCATACATATTTAATTATTTGTCATTTACATAACGAATGACTTAATTTATTATTATTCTAGAATATTTCTCCATTTTTTTGACATTTAAAAGCTCTTAATATTAGATTTTAATCTTATTTAAATTTTATAGTAGAAGCATACGCTAACAGTTATTTGTTTTTATTTCTTAACCCAATTTTTTGTTTAACATATCATTAAATTAAACTTTCGCACAAAATATTTTCTCTACAGCAAATATTTTAATATCAATTAATTTAAAATTATATGCCAACTTATTTTTTTGTACAACCATCGGGATAACGTTTTGTTGCGACAGCAAGTCAATTTTAATAATTTATGATTACATCAAATGCAATTTAAAATATATGTGAGGAGTTTTGAATAGAACACTGTTGCCAAGCGTCTGGTATTGTCCTTCATAATTAGTAATAATAAAAGCCATTACTTTTAATGTGTAGCCAACGTTCATGGCTAGCAATCTTAATAAGTAATGAAAGATTTAAAGTCGTACCAGGTACCGGACGCTTCCATGTTTATTTACACGGTCCAAGCAAATAAATTAACATAGTGAGAAATTTTACGTAACCGTAAATCACATATTATGTATTTGTGTATTTATATGAATGCACATATATATGTATATGTTTTGTGGAAATCAGATCTGCATCTACGCGTATGTTTATTATGGGCAAAGTTTCCTGTTTTTACAACAAAAAAAAATCTATCTAAACAATTTGCAACCTAAAAAATTAGTACTAAATAAAACTAAAACCATATTACTAATTAAATCCAAGAAGTTATAATAATATTTGTGTTTTTTTTTTTAGATTAAACGGATGTTGGAAAGTTAATATTATACGAGGTGTGTTCAGAAAATAACGGGAATTGTTAAATTTCGCGGGTTCGGAGGGTTGTCATAAAATTTTCTTTATTATGTTGGTATACATGCCCCCGAAGTATGATAAAAACTTTAGCTGTTTTCATCGTTTACTTTTTCAGTTGTCTGTGGCAGCCGCTAAGGTTAGACGTGTTTTATGAGCTCGGCGATTTTCGTTTGT